TTGCCTTTTTTGGGTTTTTGTTTTTTTTTTTTTTTTTTTTTTTTTTTCAATCTTAAAAATGCACTGTTGGACCCACGTGCTGTCTTCGGGCTGTGAAATTTCTGTGTCTTGTGGAGTGAGGTCTCCAGAGGTCTCAATAGTGTCTTCCTGGGCCAACGGCCAAATTGCTTCATGGGCCCGAGTGAGTTGATTAACTTCTGTTTTTGTCTTCTCGGGGAGAAAGTGGATTTGTACCTTGATATTCCAAAAAGGACTCTTGAGTGGCCTGGTAGTCTTGATCATCAAACACAAGGAAATACTTAGGAAAGTCTGTCACTGTCATAGACGACATTTCCCAATGATGTGTTCTAGTAGAGAGTGGAACGTGCAATCCTAGGCACCAAAAATCATTTCAGTTCATCTTCGAAGTTTCCTGTCCTGCCAGCAGGCTCACTCGTCTAATGCTTAAGTCAAGTCCAAGGTTAATGGAGCTGTTATTCCCAGGCAGCAGGAAGAGGCAGTTTCAGGGAGGAGTGGGAGGCTAGAAAGCCCTGCCTGGCTTTGCACACTTTCCATGGAGAATTCACATGTGGGTAATAGGGATTTTGCTGAACATTTGTGATCGTGTTCATAATAATGATATTGTGTTAGACTTCCAGGATACTATATATTTTACCGTGAGCATTTCTGGGGGGAGAAGAAGCTCTTGATGTTTTTATTGACTTTGAACAATGACATGAAAAGTAAAAATCCAGACAAGTGGCTCAGACCCCGGGCGGTATAAGCGGGTGCTTATCTTCCTGCTCTAAAGACAGTTGAATTCAGCTCATTTTATTTCTGACCTCATAACACTGTGTGGTTGAAGGAAGAGGGAGGATTAGATCAACTGGGGTCTTGTGGATTAACAGGATGTCTGAATTTGCACGTTGGAGGGGCACCAGTGAGACGGAGGACAAACTAAAACAGTTGATTTCTTCTGTGGGGAGAGAGGGACAAGAAGAGCTGGATTCCAGTTCCTGGCATGCTTTATCCACAAGCGTGTCGTGGCATTTTTAAGGAGTAGTATGGTCTTAGTAACAAGAGTTTTATCTGTGGATCTCTTAATAAGTCTTTTCTTCTGGGTTAAAGAAAATACACAGCAAACAGGCCTCTGCGGTATTTCCTAAGAGTTTAAATTATCCGAGTAGCTGCTTGTAATGACTCAGGCTTTTGGTTTTTCCTTATGGAGGACAGTAATCTGGGGCTGGGGTGGGAAATGCTGCACTGTAGCGTTGTTAGTTTAGCAACATTCCCCCCCCAATTTTTAAAAAAGTTTATTTGCTCACTTTTTTGTTTTTTTCCCTGAGAGCGAGAGAGACAGCCACCCAACAGGGTCTTAGCCCGTGACCTATGCCCAGCCTCAGTTAGCCCAGACCCTGAGCACAGGGTATACAGGGAGGCCTTGGGACACGAATCCAGGACTTTGCCATGTGTGTCCGGCATTGCAGAGGGTTGCATTATCCCTGCCACCCGCTGCCCTAAGATTTTTCTTTTCTTTCTTTTTTGGGTAGAGGACGGAGGGGAAGAAGAACCT